ATGAATAATTGGAAATAGAAAAAATTATAAAATGGTGCTGTTTATCTCATAAAGCCAAGAAGCTTAAATTTACACCATTAAAAAAAGTCAGAACCCTTACTGATTTTTTCTTTTCAAAATTCTAATGTATAGGTTTGCTCAGAGGTACATCTTCTTGCCAAATTCTAACTTTTGGTTTATGACCAAAAGTCTGAACTGTTAAAGCAATTAAAAAAACCCAGAAAGTATTATTTCATACCTGAGAGTTAGGTTTACCTCTTCTGCTCTGAAGCAGTGTTACTAATCATTGTGAGTTAATATACATCATGTCTTCTTATTTATTAAGCACTTCTCTGAATCTGAAGCCTTGAGTTTGTTTTGCAAGCTTTTCTTCTTAGGTTTGTTGGAGATCTGATATTCTGAACTTTGGGGAAACCATTTTTCTTTTCTTTGATTCTGGCTTTACACAATGCATACATAACTGAGTCTTCCTGCCACAGTTCACCAGGCTTTTTACCTTTTCTCAGTTACACTGATGGGGGTTTTATGCAAGGTATTAGTTTACATAAGATTTTATGACAAATGCTCAAACTGAACTGAATTTAATACAGAATACCAGTTTTTACAAGAAGTGAGGTAATTCGAAATCTGTACAATCTTTTTCCCTGGTGGCTGCCTTAGGCTGATACAGTTATTAAAAGCTGTGGTCTTAATATGTTTTACTTTTGATTAAGGGTTTTATTTTTCTACAGCCGAGTACTGAACTTTTATTGTTTTATCAGCTGTTGTTTTCAGTGTACAAACTCTCTAACAAGGCTAACAATAACAAAATGAATTTTAAAGATTTTTTAAAACACCCAACACCTAGTTTGAAATGGATTAATCAAAGAGATGCCAACAATCCGACTCAGGAACAAACATTCTTACATTTATTAAAACATTTTACTGAAACAATTATAAAAATAAGATAACCTGAGATTCTCTGGGAGAATGCTCCAAGCAAGAAAACATGTTTTTGATGAAGGTAGATCTAAAAGAAAGGGCTTACCTAAAACAGTTAGAATTTGTAAGTGTAAATAATGTATTTGAGTAGCCTGGTCCCATGCCATATTTAACATCATTCATGGTACTTCTTTTGTACTTATCAATAATTCAATCAAATTCATTTAACATCTATTCATTCTTGATGCCAACTCTTCTTGTCTTATCACAACAATTTCCATTTAACTTTTACCTTTCTCTTAACAAATCCAACTCTGCTTATCACATGACAAAATAGGAGAAGCACATTTGCTTCTTTTACTAAATATTCGTTTTGCACAATAATCTACATGCTTCTGTTTATTTTTCTACCAATCCTAAGTGTCTTGAAATTTCTCCATCTATTTCCCATAGTAGTAGTAATAATTCTATAATGCTATACAACTTCATGTACTTTCTTCAGTTTTTCATCATAAACTTTTTCATTTACCTTGTCAACATATCTATTTTAGAGTTTGCTTTTCAGACCTATAATCTTTCTGGTGTCATACAAAATACAGTATCTAACGTTTGCTACAAATCATTTGGATTCTCAGATAACAGTACAGCTTTATTCAGAAGCATATGTATTTACTTAGCACACCTTGAATAACTCCACAAGTATTCCTTACTATTTAACCCGAAATACATTAAAGAACTATTTAATTAAGGACATAGCATATAATTTTGTTTATTCTCATACAACAGACTTTGGTTTACTACCAGATATACATCTTATTAGCAGTCTATTAACAATCAACCTCCAACTCCATATTCACATAGAATTTTCCATAGTACAAGCCTGTTTACTTTGCCATACACATTCTCTAAATAAAGTACAATAAAGAAAGTACAATAAAACTTTATTGCTCTCATTGATAGATTTTGGTTTTGTACAGTTGATTATGATGAATCTGAATTTGTTGTGATAAATTCGGGCCAGTTTTCTGCTAATGCAGCTATTTCCACTTAGCTGAGTTAATTTAACATGAAATTTATTTCTGTATTTAGAAGACCAACTTGGGATATCTGTATCTTTTCTGTGGGCCATTAGGAACTTTCTATCCTGATAATACAATTACAAAGCAGTTTTCCTTGATTGTTTGCCAAAGAGACAAAAGTCTTCCTGTACAGATGGCAATAACTGGTGGTGTGGAGACAGTATGATGAATGAGATTTATTCCTGGCATAATGCAACAGATTTGGCAAGTTGACTATTCATTAACAGTTTCTAAGGGCTATAAAAGCATTTTGGGTTTATTTGGGGGAGGAAATGTGAAGTCTCTTTACTATCCTTCATGAACCTGAATAAAATACTGCATCTTGGATTCAGCCAGGTACTCTTCTTGTGGTGGATACTCCATAAAAGACAATGTATAAGAACTTGCTCTATGAATCACATTAAGTGTTATATTTATTATACTTAATTATAATACTACTATTATACTATACTATTTCAAATAATCTTTGGAAGCTAATTGCTGAGGTACAGATTACCTCACTCACATGAAAAATCTGTTGAATATGTTGCATCAAGGAAAAAAATGCTATTTCGACTTCTCTTTTTCCTCTTTTCCTGGGATATGGGAACATGAACAAAAGGTATGAACCATGTATGCATAATATTTTTAAATAAAGAGTTCATATAGAAACCGTGATTTAAAAAAAGCAAATAAACTCACAGAGGAACTTTCAGTCTGGTTTAATCTCTGAGAAAACAGAACATGGGAAGGGATTATTTTTATGTTTCATAATGGGGAGCGGAGGTGGGCTTGTTCATAGAGTTCATATTGTGGCTGACCAGATCTTGACTTGTTGTTAGTCACAGCCCATCATTGGTATCTCTTTCTGGGCTCTTACAGAAAAGTGGTCAAGTACAGAATAAGGAAAAAGGGCTGAGCAGTAAGTAATCTGTAATTCCCAATAATAGATATAGTTTCAGGAGGCGAGGAGAGTGAAGAAAATTATCCATATAGAGAGGTTTGCATCACTTATCTGATTGGTATGTTCAAGCTTAAAAGGGGAAAATAACTAAGATATTGCAGTTGAGTTAGATTTTTTTTGTCAGTCCCTGAAATCTAACTATGAGATCAACATTTCAGAGACCAAAATAGTTTTATGTAACAAATATCATTCTATTTCTTCTGTTATCTAAGCTTCCTTTATTTTCATGAGTTAAATATTGTATCCATTTTCACTCTGTCTGTCATCTTTTGCTAGAAATGCTTCATAAGTTTCAGTTTAATGTTTTCAGATAGTAAATCAGAACATTCAAATGTAAATTTGATTGTGATTTATTCATGGTGCTATCTTTCTTTTCTATCTTTCTTTTTAAATAAAAGTTAGCATTGTTGTTTTTGATTTCACAGAAGTATAAATTTTTAAGGCAGATTTTCCCCCCAATGAGTTATCTGATGCATCAATTGCTATCTTAAACTTCTTTGGGAACATGATTAATATTCACCTTGAACCAGAAGCAATACTGATAGTGTCTGAATATATTTTATTTCCTATCATCAGTTTTATTCAGAGTATTGAATACTAATCTCTTACGTGTTTCAAAGAAAAATTGTATTTGGTTTAGAGTTTAAACAGTATAATTAAAAAATACTAACAAAACTGAAATATAAAAGTTGGTTGTATTAAGTCAGAGATAGATAGTCTAAGCTCAAAGAGCCTTCAAAAGCAGCCCTCAAAATCAATATTTGAACTTTTCCTGGTATTTTGAAGTGGGAGCATGCACAAGATATAGTATGGGACCATTAAATAAGTTTAACATAGCATTTTAAGTAATAAGTATGTATGTGTGCTTGTATAATCTTAATAACCAAGACAACCCCCTCAAAAAACAGAAACTCTTGGACTCTTCCATGTAGTTTCATAGACTGCCTGCTTTGCCACCCTTTATATCTATTATTCTTAAGCAATTCTGTTAAGTATCAGTTGCTGCATATAAACCTTCCATTTCAAGATAAGACTACCAGATGGAAATTATCAAGAATAATTATTCTTTATCCATTAATATTCAGAAATTTCTGTATTTCTTTGTTAGTCTAGTAGTCCAGGTTTTATTTATTTATTCTTTTGGTAAATGGAAAGAGCTACATAATCTGAAGAAAAACTAGATTATTTTTATTTTGTAATAAATATTTGTTGAGAAATTGAAACTTTCTAAACTACAGCAGTCTGTTTGTCTTAAAGGGCTACATATATATGCCACTGTATTCTTGAATCTTTGATGCAGTAAACTTGTAACTTACTAATGATAATTCAATTAGCATCATATTAGTTATTCTGCCTTCAGAGATAATTACATATATTATTAGAAAACCTGGAACCCAGCTGGCCTGTAGTAAGTGGATTTCCATCAAATTTCTGAGACCACTGAGAAAATTAAAGAGACACTACCATACATGGAGAAATTCCAAACAAGATGACAAAGATGATAGCAGAAACCCATGGACCACAAAATACTCACTGATTATCTGAGAGAGGGGGGAAAAAATTGGAAACTGGTAATGGTAGAGAGGACTGGATAAATGCAGAGGTGCTTGACTGATGTGCTCAGAGCTAGTCCTCTAGTTTGAAGAATAATGGGCTTTAAACAACAGGTTTTAGAAAGATGTATCAATTAGGTAATTACTGTATTTTTACAGCCATTAAAATGTAAGGATTCTTGTGTAACATTCTACACATTTCAGATGAGCAATATCTTTCTCTAGCTTGAAGATAGCTAGACAGAAAATTGATGTGGTTTGGTTTCTTGATGATGTTTTGTTGCTAATTTTAATTTGTTGTTTGCTACACAGTGTCATATGTCAAATGAATACCCTTCCTTTCCTTTTTTGAGCCCTAAAGAGTTATAAACGTTTCAGTTTAGGGAAAAGAAAAAGACCCATTCATTAGTATTTCTAATGCTTTGCAATGCTGGTAACTTCCAGTTTGTATGTTCTTCTTAATTATGTTGAATTGTTACTTCTCTCAACATCTTCTTTTTACAGCTCATCATGTTAAAACTGGAACTTGTGAAGTGGTGGCTCTCCACCGATGTTGTAATAAGAACAAAATAGAAGAAAGATCACAGACAGTCAAGTGCTCCTGCTTTCCTGGGCAGGTAGCAGGTACCACTCGAGCAGCTCCTTCTTGTGTTGATGGTGCGATATCTTTGGTGCTTTGTTCTTTCTTTTTGAGTTGTAGCTCTCCTAAGATTGATTCTTTTAAATGAAAACAATCATTGAACAAATATATTGATAAGAAGGCTTGGAAGTATGGTGAAAGTACTTAAAATGAAAGGTAACTGGAAATTTTGAAATGAATGATGAAGTCTGACAATGAAATAAAGCCCTTATGAAAAATGAATGGCCATATAGCCTTTATACTAGGAAGCTGTGTTAAGTTTATTTTGTTTATTTGGACATCAGACTACCTTTTGTTTTGTTCTGGTGCAAATAGCAAACATCAGAAGGTACAGCAATTCCAGCCAAGAATTATTTACTCATACAATGCACACATATGTCTTATAAACTTAAAAAAAACATGTTGGATGAGATCAAATACTGTTTTAGTCCAATGTCCATCTACAATGTCTGTAGGATATAAATTTAACAGTACTTAAGCATAGTATTAATATTTCTCACCATGTATATTGTATATTCACACTGATTATATTTCTGTGATATAAGGGCAAAAAAGATTTAATTAAAAACAATAGGCTTTTCTCTTCCTCTTCTTTAGCCTCAATTGTAGAACAAAAATGGTGGTGCCATATGCAACCATGTCTTGAAGGGGAGGAATGCAAAGTTCTCCCAGATCGAAAAGGATGGAGCTGTTCATCTGGGAATAAAGTGAAAACAACAAGGGTAAGTAGGAATTTGCCATGAAATATAATTGCCAGATTTTGTAAAGAAAATTCTGAACTCGATACAAATGAATAATTCTTAGATATAGAATAAGTCTAACAGAAAAAAAATAATTGGCTTGGATATCTATCAAAGGCAATATGGTAAGTTATTTATGAATATTTTACTTTGATGGGGTTATTCTAAGTATGATTGTATCTAGATCTAACAGTTATTTTGATTTAACTGTTATCATGATAATTATTTATAATTGATCTACATGCTTTGAAATGTAATATTCACTCTTAGTGATGAGCCAAACTGGACTTGTAGTCAAATTCATATATTGAGTTAAATATTTTGTGTATCCATAAAATTGGATTATTTGTTTATCACGCACATTTATACTACTGATTATCATAAGTTCAAAAATGTAAGTTATTCATTCGATAAATAAAATGTGTCTTCTAAGTTTTAGCCTTTGTTTAGATTGATTTCATGATTAAAACAGAAGAAAGAACTTTCTTAAGAAGCAAGTCACTTTTATCATGGAAATCTCTGATTCACTCCTTAATTAATGTTACTTTTGATTTATCCTAATATATATATTTTGCTTAATCTTATTTGCTTTTGTCCAATATACATATCTAGAGAGTAAGTCATATTGAAATTAATGGATCTAACTCTTAGATTGTTCTTCGCCAAATAAGCTTAGTGTTGTGGCCCGTCGGCTGCCAGCAAAGCTAGCTGCAGAGTTAGATGAGGAGGAGGTGGAGAGAGAACGTGGGCCAGCTTTGGAGCCTTTGGAAGGCTCTGATGAGGCATCAGAGGCAGGCAGAACCGGGGCCTTCCATCCTCCCCCAGGTGGAGAGGCTGCTGTCTTTGGGGCCTGAGCTGAGTGAGGGGAAAGAACAGATGGGGCCCATCCCAGATACACGTATACACAGAGAGGAAAAGAGAGGAGAGCAAAGGAAAACAATAAGCTGGGTCTCAAAGAAAAGCAGACATGGATGCTAGCTACCCCCTCCCTGGCTGGGAAATAAATAGTAGGGGATTGGGAGTGGCCGGTTATCATAGACAACTGTTCGCTTTTAGGATACAGTAAGTAATTCGGATTTCTTGGCCAGGTCTGTTGGAACTAATTACGTTAGTAATTATGATTATGTATTTTGATTATTTTGATTATGTATTAATTAAAAATTTCCTAATGAATGGACTTGCCATGTAGCAACATCTCATAGAATCTACTTTCTGTCTCCCCTTGTTCTATGTGTTGTGACCCAGCCTTAATAAGTAGTGATAAGTTGGTTACTTGCAAGTACAAACAAACCACGTGAATAAAAGACTGTTCCTACCCTGTTAGGAAAGGGATTTGTTTGTACTTGCGAGTAAGCAGCTTATCATTACTTGCTAAGTCTATTAGGAAATTTTTAATTAATACATATCACAATGGAAATTACATTAGTATGAAAAATCCCATGAGAAAATCAATATATGTTGTTTCATTTTCCAATATAGTCATACTTTATATTATCATTGCTTATGAGAGAGTTCATATGAAATTGGTTTCAGGAAGAAAACTCATTCTTAATTCATAGAAAGTTACTTAGATGAATCACATGCTCAGCCCAATATTTTATGACCTGCTTTGCAGCAGCTTCCTTAAATTTAAAGATGAACACTCAGAAACGTCTGGCTTTTATATTATGTAAATTATTACATCTAGGAATGTTTCTGTGCAAAGGGGGGATAGTTCGTTGAACAATGGTCTTCTTGCTTGGGGAAAAAGATCTCAAAACACAGAGAGTAAAGGTGCTTTCTTTTGTGATTATAATTTCCTCTTCCTTCTGTGCCTACCATATGAGGCAGGGATAAGAAATCTTTGAACAACCATCACCATCAGATATCACAGCACAACATGTTTTCAAAAGTCATTGTAGTTTGGGCAGGGGCTGGAGAAATAGAGAAAATACTGAAGCTCTTTTTGTACTAAAGAGGCATCTCTTTAGTGGCATCTATTCACCTTTAAATGGCATCTATTCACCTTCTTCTGCTCATGCATTCCAAAAGTTTTTGATATTATTATGATAATGTGACACCAGATACCTGGTTTCCAGTAAGTGAAAGAGTAAACAATGAAATCATGTTGCTCTGCAATGTATGCTCTGTGTCTGAAATGAAACTTGAAGGCTTTAATGATTCCCCAAATGATTCTGAATTAATACACTCCCCCACCCAGCCATTATAATGACTTATAATTCATGCAATAATGCAATCATTTGGTGTTCATGACTATAGCATTCACTATACATCTTTGCTCTATTAGGACTACTGTTTAATAAGCTATTCTACTTAAGAGAAAAATGAATGGCAAGACTCTGTATCTAGAAATCTTATTTATCTTGAAACTAAGGTTGATACTAATGTCAAAGATGTCTCTTTATACACTGCAGCTGCAAAGTAGGACAAGTACTGCTATCAGTGCTGATAAAAATACTAGAAATATGATTACAGTTTTTCCTCCTTTTTGAGTCCTGCTTTTTTTTTCTTCTCTCAGAAATAGGAATATAGCACATATTATGATTTATTGTGCTTCATTTATCTCGGAAAATTAGTATATGTATGTATACCAACATTACTGATTGATTACAGCTTTCCCCAGACTATAAATTCTGGATGTTGCAGTCCCAACACATCTGGAATAAACCAAAATTGAAGAAAGTTGAAATTAAGTCTCTGTTAGACAAGAGAGTCATCAGCATGTGAAAAAAAAGTAATGAAATATCATTCCAGATTGCCACATTCTCAGCTGGTTTAATTTGAAACAGCAATTGCTGAGTTTGTGGGGCAATCTGTAGAAAAAGCAATGGAAAGATTACAAAATGATTTACTTTGTAGAATGATGTCAGAAAATGCAAGCTTTTGCAGATAAGATTGAACAGTTTTTTGGTTTTTTTAATACCGAGTGCAATGGGATTCAAAAACCAGAGCAGGTACTATGTGATGCATCTGAAAGAGGAAGTCGAGTGCAGACAAAATCTGTGACAGCTGTTTGAGAATAATATTATACAGCAGAAACAAAGGAGTTATATGCAACTAATTTAGAACTGATAGAGGCTTATTAAATACCTAGCTCTTGAGTTTTCCAGAATAGAAAATTGCCTAATCTTCAAGAGAACCTGATTTCTTGGCATTCTATAGACTTCTATAGACCAATTTTCTAGTTATCTGTCTTCTACATTAACATTACAGTAAACTGCTTGTTCAGGATATATCTATATCTATATTATATAATATTAGAGAACTAGTTTAATGGAGTAATTAAGACATAAGGCTAGAAATCAGGAGACACATAGGCACAATAACAGCTGGGTGACCTTAGACCAATCACTCTTTTTCAGCTGTAGGAAGAAGGTAGGAACAAATCACTTCTGAAATTTTGCCATGAAAACTTCAGGGAATAGTATAGGCAGTCACCAGTAGTAAATGCTATTTTAAAGGCATAAAATAAAATATCACATTTGATTTTTTTCCTCAGATCTTATGCTTATGCCAATATATTCATATATATAAAAACACTATATTAAGACTTTTGTTCACAACTTATTTTAAATTTCCCTTCAATTCTTAATATAAATGTATGTATTATCAAGAACATTGTGTCTTTTCTCCCCAAGTGGGTGTGACCAAGGGGCTTGAAGAACATTTTGCATAAAGATTTAAATTTCTGTGAAGTCTTTTAAAATATCCCTTTCCCCCAAATTAGTTGTTAAATAATAAATTCACAGTCATTATAATTTATTTTGCCATCAGTATGATTATTATTTCAGTTTGTTTGATCAGCTTAAGAAATCTAGAGGAGAAATGTATCTTTGAAGTTTACAATTGATTTCTGTTTCCTTAGAGGTAGAAAACAATAAATATTTACCAGTCATCCCTTATAAACTGAATAGCTTGAGAACCAGAGGTAGGTTTCAGCAGGTTCTGACCAGTTCTGGAAAATTGGTAGTGGAAATTTTGAATAGTTTAGAGAACTGGTAGTAAAAATTCTGACTGGCCCCGCCCCCATCTATTCTCTGCCTCTCAAGTCACAGCTGATCAGGAGGAAATGGGGATGTTGCAGTAATCTTTCCCTGGATTGGGAAGGGAATGGAGATTTTACAGTATCCTTCCCCTGCCACGCCCACCAAGTCATGCCCACCAAGCCAGGCCACGCCTACCAAGCTCACCACTGTTGAGAACATATAAAACATATTATATGTGAACAGAAAAAATTAATAATTTTAAAAGCCAAAATATGTTTTTTGAGTTCTTATTTCAGCAGAATGTTAAGCAAAATGATGAGAGAGAGTGTGTGTAAGTGTGTGAGCATAATGTAAGACCACCAGTTTATATGAAATATGTGGTACAGAATGTTAGGTGGGCTTGTAGTGCAATTTACACAAAGGACTTTTATTGTAAGTTTGCTTGGGAAGATGAAAAAATATAACAAAATAATGCAATTGCAATCCACTTCCATATTGTTGCTAAAAAAAATAAAACATATATATCTGTATAGTAATAATAACTACTACAATAATAAATAGAATCACTTGCCTAATTAGTTTCTGGTATTGACACAATGATTTTGGGAGCTATCAAATTTATTCAGTTAATTGAAAAGTTTGGTTTCTTCCTATTTTGAAAATGTAAAATTCAATCGTTATTCAGATACATGTTCAGAATAGGTCACAAAATATGGGTGCCTTGTTTACAACAGAGAAACAATAAAAAGAAAAGAATCTTTTATATTTGCACAGCTGGAGAATAATATATTATTATAATAATATAGAACAATAGATAAAAATACATGAAAATTTTTTAAAAACAATGATAGCTTACTCACTGCTTACTAACATTTAATTTATCTTGTTATAGGGTTTACTTGATTTTTATAGGATTTTTTCATTCAGTCTGGAATTAAATCTACACTTGTACATAAGTACACTTGCTTTTTTAAATCTATCACTTCTTTTCAAAAT